GAACCTTTCCCTAGACCTGATAGTCTGACATCCCATAGCAGCTCACCGCAGTACTGGCCAGTATTGCTCTAGAGAGACTAGAATGGAATAGATTTTTCTGGCTAAAAAAAGACAACGGATACCTACAATTTTTCAAAAGGCCCTGGCTGCTGTGGCCAATGACAAAGTTTTTTGCACAATCCTATAATAACCTGTGGGGAAGGAGTGGGTGGAAGGAAGGGAAAACAAACAAACAAATAAAAGGATAGCTTTATAGAAAACCTGGATACGAGATTGGAAATGAGATGGATGTATTTTAAGGTAGGCTTTTCCCTTCCTGCAGTGGACAAGCAGCATAAGCAAGGGACAAAAGATAGTATCTGCCCCTAAATAGAACAAAAGTAAAGTGGTGAGAGGAATAAAGACCCAGTTCTTTCCAGTCCTTTACTAAAGAAGTAGTCTCATTCAAATCAACAAAATTACTTGGATAAATAATGACTACTTAATTGAATAAGAAGGATGGAATTAGTCTGCTAATTTATGCCTTTAGCACCTTGCATGAAATTATATAGAAAATTAAATTTTAATGAATTAAAAGGTTTTCAAAATAATTTCAGAATTTTAAGACAGTATTTTTTTCCCTTTGTGTTACAGGTATTGTGTGTCTGTGTGTTAACTGTAATCTTAGGATGTATATTTGGACTGAAGCCAAGCTGTACAAGAGATGGTAAATAATGTAATTGTTATTAATAATTTGACCAATTATTTTTTATAACATCATCTTGAAATGATCAGAGTAACATGCTGGCATTTCAGGGGAAGGGGATTTTGTAGCTGTAATAACTTCAGTTAGACCTGAGTGAATTTTTTTCAGATCACTTATTCGCCAAAAGATGGTGCCCATGCATAACTGAAACTATTTATAAATTTGGGTTGAATTTGGTAAATAATGGAAAAAATTCCAAAAATGTTGAAAAGATTCATTTTGGAATTTCCAAAATGGCATGGAGAGATATTCTGGGGCTAGATTTGTACTAAGGCTTATGAGCTGTTAAAAAAATTAAGAGGTCAAGGTGCCGTTCCCTCTTAATCTAACAGCCCTCTGGCTAGTGCAGTCATCTGGGGGCATGTCTATGCATTGCTGTATGGCAATGTTAATATTGTGATGTGTTTAGTACTTGATATGGGGAAATACTAAAACATGGCACAGTAGCTGCCCGTACTGTGGCATGTGGGTAGCACACTATTAGATTTACTGGCTGCATCTCCGTAGCGGCATGCTGTAGCCAGGGAGCATGCTGCTATGGCCACATAGCCAGTGATCACCTATAGACCTACATGATGGCAGCATCACCGTAAAGCACCGTATGGCGACGTTGTGTTTCACTATGTAGCTGTAGGGCAATATATAGACATGTCCTGGGAGAAGAAACCCTCTATCAGTGCCTTCTGATGAACTTGTACCACTTGCATAAAATAATTATTCATAGTGCCAGAGAGAAAAACTGATTCCTAAGCCTGGTGTTTAGAGCACTCACTTGGGAACTGGGAGATCCTAGCTGTAGGCCTTGCTTTGAATCAGAGATTTGAACCTAAGTCTCCTTAGGTGAATGCCCTAACCACTGCACTACTGGATAAAATGGGGAGGGGAGTGTCTCTTCTTTCTCAGTTCGGTGAATCGTAGCTAAGTCTACCATTACTTCCCCCTAGGTTTTGTGAAGTATGCTTCAGTTCCTCTGTGAAGTTAGACTTTTGTTGCCAAAATTCCTGACCTTTCATTTTAAATAATTATTATTACAAGGACATAAAATTGAGCTGTTTTGATTTAAGTCCAGTGCAGTAAGGATTATTGTATTTTGAGTCCCCAGCTTCTCATCTCTTCTCCCTCAACAAGTTTTCATTTAACTTTGATCCAAATTGTATTTTTTTCAGTTAATCACTGAACTGAAAAATCAATCAGCTTTAATCTGAACTACCAGCACATTAGTATGGGAACATTCCTAAGGCAATTCCTTTTAGTTTTTTTTTAATTAATTGGGAAAGATCTGATTTTTCCAGTATAAACATTTCTTAGATGGGAAGTCTGGAGATGCTATTCTAGGAACTGGAACAAGTGAGGAAATAGCTTACCTTAAGGGAATGAGTAAAATGTCCTTGAAACTTTCTTTTTAAAATTAGAGCTATGTTAACTTGTTTTTTTTCTAGTGAGAAGTAGAACCAAGTTCACATGCTCTCTTGGCTTGATTCAGGAGACTGAGTCAACTGAAGGTCTCATGTCCCTCAGGGTAGTACCCTAATTACCAGGCTAATGGGGTTATTCTAAGGTTGGTCTCCCTCATTTCCTCCTTTGTGAACAGGTCAAAATACTTAATCATTGAAACAAAGATCAAGAATGGGAATGGCTCTCTCTCCTGGTGGTTAGAGTGCCTGCATAGGAGGAGGGTGACATAGGTTCCCAATTCCTGC